TGTCGGCGGGGCCCGGGCGCGGCCGGGGGGGCCCGGCGGGGACCCGAGGGGGACCCGCGGGTGGGGCTGGCACCGAGACATGCGGGGTGGCCTCGGGTGGGGGGGTGGGGTGCGGTGTCGGGCGTGGGTCGGGGTGGGAGGGGAGTCGGGGAGGTTTTGGTAGAGAGGTAGGAGGGCCTTCGGGGAGGGGATGAGGTGATGGAGAGAGGGAGGGAGGGAGGGAGGGAGGGAAGAAGGAAAGGCCTTTCGTTTGAAAGAGATAACTTCTTGTCTGCTGCAGTGCTCTGAAAAATGACACAACGGTAAATGCCCTGACAGGAATGCCTTTGGACATTTCCATCACTTGGCAGAAAGCATGATGTTATTATTTCAGATGTTCTTTGTGATTAAAATGTAGGAAGAGTACTTGCTATTTATGCCCGTGAGTTGTAATTTCTCCACTGGGGATCCAGTGTTTCTCGTCTTGCCCAGCTTCTCTTGGTGGGAGGATGTGTGATGCTATCTGGAAATACATGTGAATCAAGGAGGCGTGTGTGACAAGTTTAGGGTGCTAACTCTTCATATATGTCCCTGGAGATATTCAAAGCCCACCAGGATGTGTTCTTGTGTAACCTGCTCTAGGTGACCCCACTTTGGCAGAAGGTTGGACTAGGTGGTCTGTAGAGGTCCCTTCCAGTATGAGTTCAATTCAGTAGTTCTGTCAGGAGACAACTGACATGGGAAGTTGACTGAATCAATGACAGGTCACTCATTACTTCAGCTTTTGGATTTGAGTGGGAATATGTAATTTATTTTCAACCTCTGTGAGGTGTATGAAACCTGCTAAACTGGGGTGGAGTTCTGCTGGGATTTTTGCAATCCAGGGAAGTGGTGTTGCTGCTGTTTTGTTTTTTTTTTTTTTCCCTGGGATCCAGAAGCTTGCTAAAGAATAAGCAGATGTTTCTAATGGAAGAGAGATATGGAGGTCCAAGGCTCTGAAGCTAGCATAGTTCTGTCATGATGCAGGAAAAAAGTAGCCAGCAAGCCTTATGCAGCTTGTCTTTCTTGTGTACCATGCTGCAATTCAACCCTATAATAAAATTGTTGCTCTATTGGGAACAGCGAGAAGAATGACACAGACTCTCTTGTGAGTTGAACAGGAGAGCTTCAGGTTTATTACCTCAGATCTTTTTTTATAGACTGATGTGGGAAAGTACAGAAAGGTAAAACTTATTGGTTAGTAAACTAACACATCACCATCATTGGTCAGTGGGATACACCACCCCTCGACCTTCTCTTGCAAGAAAACAAGAAACTGACAAACAGCACCTTCAAGGCTGTTTTCTATCTCTGAGGATTGTTTTAATTCCTCCTTATGATTTCCCAGGCCACTTTCTCAGGACTGAGAAAATTATGTGGCCTGCTTTTCCACAGGCACTCTGCTCCCTGCTTTTGCTCATATTTAGCATCCATATAAAATAATGGTTGGTGTTGGTTGAACCCTGGATTACACCCAACCCCTCAATTTGTACCAAATACCTTGTCTGCCATGTGAAGAATCTGATCGGTCTGGCAATTATTTGCATAACTCCTGTGGATCTCTGTCTGAAATTTCAGAAAGCCTCACAGCAGCAACCTGTAAAACTTTTTCTGATGTCTGTGTGAACTCCTAAGAAACATTACTGTTTGGTTTGTATGTCTTTGGAAATTAGGCATGAGAATGCTTTGCTGCTCTTGTTTTCCACTGTGTAGGGTTCTAGACATTTTTTAATATCAGAAGGGATTTTTGTAACTCTCAGATATAACAATACCTATCTTCATTACTATTAGTGGTTTATGTATTTTGCTGTATCACTGGAAAAGGTGATGCAGCACATTAAGTATATTACTCATCAGTAATATGTACTAGGGGGATGTCTTCACAGCAGTTGCTCAAACCGTGGGGTTTTGAGTATTTGTGTTAAGTTGGTCAATATGTAAGCAAGCTTGCAGTGTCATAATTTTTAGTGGTGGTTCCTGATTATTGTGTGGTGCCCTTGTTTTTCTGTGGAACTGGAAGAGATGTCCTGTTCTGTTTCAGGCTACTGCAGCTAAGTGTCATTCGCTTCTCATTAAATTGCAGGAGAAACTGTCCTAGGTATGTGGAAGGGAACTTTTTGAGGGAGATACGGAAGGACAGCCAGCACTAAATTGCATTGCCTCAGAAAGTACTTTTCTAGCCTCAGCTGTGGTTCCACAGCAGTGGAAATTGGTCTTTTTGCTGCTAACAATGTGAGAGTCTTGCTGCTTGTCCCTCTATCAGCTGAATTGTTCTTACAGACACTCTCACATCCAGTGTGTCTAATGATTTTTTTCTTCTGATTATTTAATATGTTAATTGATGATTAGATAAACTAAACACAGTTTAGTTGACTTCCAAACTAGCACATTTGGATGTGCTAGTTTTCTACACAATTATTGTGCTCCAATAGCTTACAGAGGGATCTGTGGCCCCAGCAGTATAAGTGTGTAGGAAATATACATAGTCATAGTCAGGATGACATGGAAGTCTTTACATGTGATTTTCTGGATCTGCTCTCCCCAGAGCTGTATCCTAGCAAGAATCAGGGTTGTCTATATTATCAACTGCTGTTGGCTGACAAACCACTGTTAAAACTGTTTAGGAAACTTTTGGAGAGAGGAATGTGTTCATATGGGCTTTTCTTTTTACATATTGTCTTGTCTGTAGTGAGTCCTTTCTTAAAACTAAATAGTATTTTGAGAGGTAGATACAGTAATTCTTTTAAGTTTTTCTTACTTACCTGTTTATTTGTTGAATCCAGAGAAGAATAGTTTTACTTCATTAGTGGGGTCAGTGAAAAAGTGTGCAAGTTTTTTCATCTATCTGCCAGTGATCTTAAACATTTTTTTTCTGAATACAGTTTTATTGATTCCAGAGAACAGTTTTTCTTTAAGTTAAAATGAAAGCTAAAAGAAATCCATTTTTTAGTGGAATGTGATTGTTACAAGTAAGACAAGAACATTCTGGAAAAAGTAAGTCACATATTATGTCATTTTGACAAGTTCTAATTAGCCTGAAGTGAGAGATTTATTGTGGGACTGAAGAGAAAATGCATGTTGTATGAAAGAAAGGCATTGTTAGAAGTTGTTGGCAAAAACACATGAAAACCTGTTTGGATAAACCCCTTCATTTTCAAGGACTGATGTTGCAGAGCTGCTTGCTGTTTTTTCTCAGTGTGGAAACATTCTTGTAACTGTTATCTTGTTATCTTCAGCTGCATATAGTATTTCCAGCTACAACTGGAATAACTGTTTATGTTTATGTATCATAAGAGGTACTAAGTCGTCATCTAGTTCAGGTTTTCATAATAACTTCTGATACTGAAATTTACTGCTTGGATTAATTTCTGCATATTGATTGAAATATGACTTGATAGTCTGTCTTGGAAATGGGAAAGAACTACTTTGTTTTAGGTTGAAAATTGCTAAGAATGGACTAAATTTGCATATTTGAAAAATGTACCTTATAACATGGAAGCTTACAGCAGTTAGTAGTAAATCTGAAGGTACCTGCCAGATTCATGGTAATGATCCTGTCCAGAAGATGTCTCTTGTTGAGGTCTAAAGATAGGCATTTTTCTGTTGATGAATTCTCTTTACACAGATAATAGCCTGATGTTTTATGTGTGAACTTACACCTGTATCTACACTTCCTGTGCATTATCCCATTAATGATTACAAAGACCTGTATAAGTACTTGTAGAAAGAATCTTTCACATTTTTTTCTACATAAATGCAATCTTTTGCTGTAACAAGATAAATCACTTCTGCCTGCAGCCCTTTAGTAGGTTGATTAATTTTTTTTTTCCTTTTTCTGTGCATTTCCTTCTCAGACTGTTCCTGTTCTCCCTGGCCTTGCATATCTGAAATGCTGCCTAGAAAGGCCAAAACATTAATTATATATTTGCTCATTTTGAAAGTGGGATGGGAGGGATAGGCAAATACAATTCTTACCTCACTGTGTCAAAAAAAATGTACAGGCATGAGGAGAAGGGACACTCTTGTAATTAGGAGACTGACTTAAGATTTGACTAAACTTTCAGGATAGGAAAAATGCTGAATTTTTAAGGATTAACCATCAAATGGTGTAAAAAAGCAAGTTCATGCCTTTATACCTGTGGTTTTTGTACTACAAGAATTGGAGAGCTGTCAGTGTTTGGAAAGGAAAACTTGAAATTGTTAAAAGAAGAAAGGACTAGGTACGGTTATCACATGGAGCTTGTTACCAGAGGAGCTTGAATCTAGAAGCATAACAGAATTTTAAGAAGGATGATAGGAATATCTAGTTTTACAATAAAAACTAAAAAAATACACCAGCAACTGTAAACGGTTTCTGTTCTTCTTGAGACTGTAATTTAAATAACCTCATACTGGTGTGAGGTAGGAAGAAATCTTGCCCATGGTGTGATGTTTTTAATTGCCTACTCTTAAGAATTTTCTTAATTTGTGTCTGTAGCAGATGAAACTGGTCATGGTAGAGTGTAATCCATTCACTCCACAAACCTGCTAGGAGCTTCTCTCTCCTATAGTCTTGCTAAAACATCTTGGTAACTGTTTTCACCTTCAGACAGAAATGAGACTACATTTTAGCAACAGTCAGGGCTATACTTTGTTTCTTTAAAATCCAAGTTCGGTGAAACTCATGTTTCTCAGAGTTGAGAGATCGATAACATCCTCTGTGTTCTGAGTAATCCTGTATCTTCTTGTACAACTCCCAGGAGCACGAAGGATTTTATAGTAGGAGAGAAGGTTTAATGATGCTATAAAACTTCTGTTCAGGTTTGGGTAGTCACCCTATTTTACAAGCTCTTGAGGGTA